TACTCTGATAAATCATCACCATCCTTGCTGCCAGCTTGCTCAAGGTCTAGAAGGAGAAATTTGCACAAATCAGCCCAACTTAAGAGAAAAGGCAGCGTGGGAGAGAAATAACAGGCTGTGAAGAGGAATAAAGGGCTGTGGTGTGTGTGTGTGTGTGGGGGGGGATTAAGGGTACAGAGGAGGAGGAGGATGTAATTTCCAATTAGGAGGGGCCCAGAAGACTTCTTGGAGGTGGTGGCCTTTGAGCTTGGTCTTAATGGGGGGCAGGGTTTGGATGTAGAGTTATTAGAGAGCAGCAGAGTGGTGGGAACAGCAGGAACAGAGGAAACCCCAGGTGTGTGAGGCACCGGTGGGGAAGCTCTGTCGGGGCTTGAGAAGATTAGAAATAAGTCTGGGCAGGGAGGCCAGGGTCAGGCAGAGGACAGGATGTGTGCGCCCTCACCTCTGCCATTGTCACAGGCCAGGGGAACAGCTTTGTTCTGGGTGACCCAGAGCCATGGTTCATGGGGTGATGGCAAGACCCTTCTGGCTATTAGAGCTCTTTAACTGTATAGGCAGCCTTAGATGGAGTGAGCTCTTCAATCTTGAGTTATGTAAGTGAAGGCTGGGACACTAGGGTGCGTGTGGATGGGGGAGCTGTAGATTCTGGCTCATGGACGGGCTCAGCTAGGACGGGGCTGAAAGCAGAAGCTGGACTATATGATGTCAGAGGTCCTCTTCCACCCAGAAAGTCTGTGTTCCTAACTGGGAAGCCTAAAAAGCCCAGCAGAGGGAATTCCTGGGAGTTTGGTTATTTGTTCACTAATTCATTCCCTCATTTGCCCCTGTCCCACCAACCTCTCCCTCCCTCCCTCCCTTCTTTCTTTCCTTCCATCCATCCGTCACTTAGTCACTAAACCCTTGCTTGGTGCAGATCTTGTGCTGAGGACTCCAATGACTCAGATGAGGTCCCTGTCCATGTGAGCTCCCAGTCTGATGGGGGAGACAGACAGTGGCATGCCTGACAATGACAATGCAGTATCACCGTGGAATATAGATGGAGATTATTTCATTGTGTTTTGTCACTGAGTGCGGAGGTAGAGCTGGGACAGGGACCTGAAGAGTTAACACAGACATTTGTCCTCCAGCCAGAAATGCCCACCAGTGGGGCCAGATGAAGAATATAATGTGGGAAAAGAAGTGTTTGCAGGAGAAAATACTCCGGGTTGACAGGGCGTAAGAGGCAGGCTTTCTGCCGATGTGGCACATGCCAGAGGCCCACTCAAGGACCAGGCCTTTGGCTGAGGGCACCACAAACTCATCCCATACCAGAAATGAGCGTATTGGAGAAGTCTCTGTAGAGAATTCCTTGGTCAGCATGAACTGTAAGCAGATTGCGTAGAGTGGTGGTTGAACCTGTGGGCTCCTGACTGAGATCAGGGTTCAAATTCTGGTGTTAACTCATATCAACTGCATGACTTTGGACAAATCGCTCTTTGCTTCCGTTTTGTTGCCTCTGTAGGAGAATAATAATCATAGTACCTTCCTCTTAGGGGGAGGCCCAAAGCTGGTAAGGCGCATGAAATGCTTGCACAGTGCTGGGTGAGTGAGAAGGGCTCTCATGTCAGGGCTACAGTGCCGATGATAGTGATAACATGCTATCAAGAGCTGCCTGTAAGATCTCTGGGCCTCATTCTCCCCAGCTGTAAAAGGGAGGGCTGACCTAGCTCACCGGACCAGCAGCAGCAGCATGTTAGAGATGCAAGTTTTGGGGCTCTACTGAAGCTCTGCTGTAGATGGGGCCCAGCAATGTGTGTTTTAACCAGCCCTCCAGGTGGCTCTGATGCAGACAGAAGTTTGAGAACCGCTGACTTAGCTATCACTTAAGCCCTCTTCTCAGTCTGCCTTTCCAGGACGATGGTTCATCCAGATGTGTTTCATGTTTCCTGCATTTAAGGCCCTGGTCTGGGGGTTGGTGGGGAGGGGGCACAGAGAGGAGTAAGATGTGGTCTCAGCCCTCAGGGGGCTCCGGGGTGAGTTGGAAAGGGGAGGCAGATATCCATGGAAATAGTCACTGGAGTAACATACTGAACAGAGCTGCTGAAGAGATCCAAGAATCAGTTCTGTAATAAATAACAGAGGAGAGAGACCTTTGTGGGCTGGAGGGGCCTCTGCAGAAAGATCTAGCCCTCTGTTGCTTGTTCCTGATGATAATATTGATTGAACCTTGCTGAAAATCCTATTGTAAGTCTAACTGAAGCCTCTCTTCTTTTATGCCTTGTGGGGTAGGGTGGACAGGGCTCTAGACTTGAGGTCAGGCGTGGTGACGCTAGTGGTGATTCTAGTGCTAATCCTCACTGTGTGACTTAGCGGGGCTCACTTTTCATTTCTGGGCCTTAATGGACCCATCTGTAAAGTGAAGAGACTAGACTGAGTCCAGTGCATCCGAGACATTACGGTTCTCTGGAGAGAGGGTAGGGTTGGGGACCAGGAGCTCTCTTGAGTTTCCATTCCTTCACCTGAATACTGAGGATCCTGAGGTTGTCCTTGTTGCCTGCCTGAATCCAGTGAGTTTGGGGATTGAGTGAGATGAGCTGTCCCCTCTCTGGGCTGGTTTCCTTACCAGTCCAGGGTGGTCTCATGACAACTGTCCTGTTTACCCCACATGGCTTTCATCATGTCGACCATGTTCTTCATTCTCAGAGGCTTCTTGATGCCTAAACCCTGTTGCCTGGCCTTAGAGGCCCTCCTCGACAGATCCCCAGCTTTTTCCTGTAAGTTGAGGATCCTCACTGCCTATGACAGCATTCTGTTCTGTTCCTGTTAGGCCTTCCCCCCACCCCTCTTCTCAGTCTAGCCAAACTTATTCAATCTTCAGGCTCGCTCTAGCACCATCTCCTCCAGGAAGCCCCCCTAGCTTGCCCCAACCCTCAATGCCATCCTTGGACCATTTTGCAGTCGTTAAGGTGTAACTTTTTATTTTATTTTATTATTTTATTTGTTTATTAAAAGATTTTATTGGGGAGAGGGAAACAGTGTTGGGGAATCGGGGAAGGGGAACAGACAAGTTGCTGTCGTTTTGTTCTTCAGTCTAGTTGTGGAGGACGTTGCTTCACTGGCCCAAGTTGGCACCATCATTGCACTCTTCCCGGGCGAGGCAGATCAGTCGCCGGCTTCTGGACGGCCGCTCACTGCGGCTGCTGGCCGCTCACGCTGGCTGCTGGCTACACACAGCAGCCCATGGCAATCCACTGCCACAGGGGCTGCAGCCTACGCCGTCGCCGGCGACTCATGGCAGCCCAGCTCCAGGTTGAGCTGTTGTTCAGCATCTTAGCTGTGGAGGGCAGTGTCACTGGCCCTCATATGTGGGATCCGAACCGGGGCCCTCTGGTGTCCCAAGCCAGTTCTTAACCATCGCGCCACTCTGCCGGCCCAAGTTGCTGTCTTTTTGTTCTTCAGTCTAGTTGTGGAGGATGTCGCTTCACTGGCCCATGTTGGTATTATCATTGCACTCTTCCCGGGTGAGGCAGTCGCTCACTGGCCATTGGATGGCCGCTCACAGCAGCGCTTGGCAGCTCACAAAAGCGCATGCCCACTGCTGGCCACCCCACTGCAGCCTACGCCGTCGCTGGCGACTCACGGCAGCCCAGCTCCAGGTGGAGCTGTTGTTCACCATCTTAGCTGTAGAGGGCGCAGCGTCACTGGCCCTCATGTGGGATCTGAGCAGGGTCCCTGATGCTCAGAGCTGGCGTTTCAAGCCAACTCTTAACCACTGCGCCACTTTAAGGTGTGACTTTAATTTCTCATTTGTAGACACTGAACTGCTGGCATAAGCAATTTGAGGGCAAGGCATGAACTCATAGGGATGGATATTGGAGTCCTTGACTCCTAAAGCTGGGAAGCCCGGAGAAAGGAGGGAGCATGTCCAAAGTCACATAACAAATTATGTGAAAGAACCAGGCCCAGAACTCACGTGTCTTAGCCCCAGGGGAAGCCAGTATTAGATGTGAGTAAACCAGAGGCAGTGCGGGGCAGAGGAAAGGGCAGAGGCCTCAGAATTGGGCTGACCTCTGTTGCAGCATGGCTCTGCACTCAATAGCTGTGCCACTTGGGGCATGTCACCTACCCTCCCCAAGGGACTCCCAGTGGGGTTGGAACGAGGACCAGTACGAGGCCTGGCACACAGTAGGTGCTGAGTTACTGTAAGGAGCTCATTATTACTCCCAATCTACTTGTCCATCCCAGCTCCTCTGCTTAGTTTGCCACTCCCCTTCATCTCTTAACCACCAAGCACTTTAGCTTATTGTCCTGTCACGAGCAGTCCAATGTGAGTGTCAAGGCCTCCGTGTTAAGCCTCTTGCAGAAGTCAGAGGGACAAGAGGAAATCCTGGGGGTCTCTTAGTCAGTAGTGGCTACACATGGGCTAGGGTGAGTGCCCAGGGGGCTGAGCCCTGTGGAGCCAATGAGGTAGGATTTAGCAAGTGCCACTTTTAGAAATGTCATGCCGCCTATTTTGAGGCGAGGAGCGCGCCCTGTCACTGGCCAGCAGCTGCTGGACGCCAGCAGCCTGGAGGGTGGCACTCCCAAGGGTGAAGAGTACTAGCAGGTGGGTCTGGTGTCTCTCTGGGACATTGCTGACAGCTCCCTGGCCTCCTGCCACCTTCCAGCCTGACCTCTTGTGGATGGATGGAAACCTGGTGCCCGTTTTGCCAGTCTTTCTGGCTGAGGCCGGGGAACTGGAGCCTCCCTGGCCCCTGGGAGCAACCCCAGAGCCAAGAGACCCTGTGGGGAGGATGTCAGGGGCTGGAAGTGGGGGTGACTAAGTTTGGCTGTGGCTGGAAGCTAAGTGCGTGTCCGGCTAGGTGCCCAGTGGGCGGGTACAGGGCCCCCTGACTTGGCTGTAGCCCAGCTGGCAGCCTCTCTCCTTCCTCTCCACCAGGCGGGCCCAGGAGCTCGCTGTGCAGGGGCTCTAGGAGAAGGGGGGCAGAGGGCAGTCTGAGTGGAGGCTGGGACCTGGACTCAGGAGGGGCGGGAGCTTGGTAGGAGGAGCAGGAGAGGCAGACAGGCTTCATATGGAGCGGGAGCCTGGCTGTTGCTCAGGTGACCCACGTCTCTCTCTCGGAGGCTGTTGCTGCCACTGGACGACCAGCTAGCAGGGTCTCAGCCGCAATGATCCAGAATGTCGGAATTCACCTGCGAAGGGTATGGAGGGTGGGCTGGGGGTGGGTTGGAGGTAAAGGGGAGGGGATAGGAGGCTGGGGACCCCAAAAGAGAATTGAAGTTTCCATTTTAAGTCAGAAGTTCTACATCTCCTCTCTCATTTTCCACGGGCCGTTTTCTAACTCTCTTTTGGAAGGAGAAATTGCAGGACCCCTGGGCTGGTTTATTATAAGCTACAATCCCCAAACAAGCCCCAGGGGCCATTAGTAACCCGAGGGCGGGCTGTGTGGAGTGCAGTGATCTTCTGCACGTTTTTTTGTTTGGAATTCTATTCCGGGGGTGTATGTTTCTGCCCGCACCGCACCCCGAGGTATGTGTGTGTTTCTGCCAGGACGTCTGAGCTCCATGGTTGTGTGGTGTTTAACTCTCAGAGTTCAGGGCTCAAAGGCCACGGAGCTGATAGACTATAAGGTTTTGGGTGTGTTTGCGTGTGAGTGTGACAGGGTGAAGCCGAGGGCACTTGGTGACATAACCTCTTTGGGAGAATAAGCGCAGGAACAAGTGAGGGCTGTTGGAAATGTGTCCTGCAAGGTGACCTTGAAGAGAACTTTTCCCTGGAACCTCTTCACAGGGACTTTTGAGTTGAGATTAGATGCTGAAGCCTGAGACAGACCCAAATCTGTGGGCTTTTGATCTGGTGAACAGAGAAGGAAGGGTTCAGGACAAACTGGCAGAGGTTTTGCCGGGCATAGAGTGGGTGTCCTCTGAGGATATTTTTGGGAAAAGCTTTTTTAAAAGGGGCAAATAAAGAAATCTATCTATCCCCTCCCTCCATCTGTATGGCTGCCGCTGAGCTCAGACCCAGTGTGCCTTCTCCCTGGGTCCCCATCCCACTTCTAGCCCCCTCTAATTTACCATTCACTGGAGGGATGCTTCTAAAAGGTAAATGTGATCATTCTCTACCTTCTCAGATGGCTGCTTCAGTATAACTTTCACATTCCTTACTTGATACAGAAGGATTTGGGTAATCTGCCCCTGCCAACGTCTCCCTCCTCATTCCACCTTGCCCACCCCTGTGCTTCCGGTATGGCAGTCATCCTGCACTGCTTGTCAGTGCACCGCCTTTGTTCTCTCCTCCATGCTGTTGTGCATATTGTGCTTTCTGCTAGAGTGACTCCAGCCTCCCATGGCCCACAGCTAACTTGTCTCCCTGGAAAAGTGATTCTGAGCCCTCAGTTCCCTGCTCAGATGCTGCCTCCTCTGGAAAGCCTTCCCAGATTTCTCTCAGCACAGCGAACCTCCCTCTGGTGTTAGATCCTTCTCACCCTGGATTGTGTGGTGGGCACACATGTCCATCTCTTCCACCTGCCAGTGAGTTCCCCATGGCTGTTCTTAGTGTGCCCAGCACAGTGTTGGTCATGATCAGAGTCCCAGGGAAGGCTTAATGAATGCATGGGCACAGGCAACTTTGCAGCAAGGCCAAGGGTGGCATCTGAGCAGCCGGGTGTCTTGCTCCTGTTCCTGGAGTATAGAGCAGAGAGCATCTTCCAGGTGGGTGGGGCTGTCTGTATCTCCTCTTGTGCCCTGTTATCTTTAACCCTTCATGACTCTTTTCCCATTGAACCTCATCAGTAATGGGGGAGAGGTCAGTGGGGGAGGGACATATCACTGTCACAGAGATAACAATATCCTTTTATAGTGCAAATCCTTACATAGAGTTGACAATGCTAGGCACCAGACCAGGCATATGTTAACTCATTCATTTCTCCGTGAGGTAGGTAGAGTGACCATCCCCATATCCTAAATGAAACTGGGGCTCAGAGAGGTTGAGTGACTTGCCCAGGATCACACTGGCATGAAGTGACAAAGCTGGGATTTGAACTCAGGCATTCTGGCTCCAGAGTTTGAGCTCTTAGGGAACCTGAGGCTCAGCCAGATGAAAGCCCAGAGATTGCAACTCACACGTCCTGACGTGGAGCCCAGCTGGTATTCTGCTTCCCACCCTGTCCCCTCCCCACTGAGTCTGGGAGTGGAGGTGGGTGTGGGGTGTGGGAGTTGGGCCCACAAGGTGACACCATTTGTCTCATGCCAGCTGAGAACACTCCGGTCTGGATTACCACCTTTGGACTGTTGCCTGCATGGCAGGTCTCCTTGGACTCCCCTTGTTCCCTCCTGAATTCCCTAAGTTCCCCAGGAAAATAGGAGGGTTGGGAACTGTTTTCTGGGTTGTTACCAAGGCTATTTTTAATGAACAGCAAGCAAACCAGAAAACCCCCACTGAGCTCTGTTCACTGGGGACTAAGGTTAAACCAGGAACAGAAGGGAGGCCTCAGGAAGCCCACAGCCCTGTGTCTCAGGGTTGGGGGCCCTTGTCAGTATTCTGTGCTTCTACTGACAGCGGGTATGTGGAGTCAGAATGTTCTGGCTCTTACCTACCACTGGGTACCCAGCAGGCACTCTGCATGTGAAAGTGAGTGAGTGAGTGAGTGATTGAGTGAGTGAGTAAACGAGATGGTGAGTCTGTTGCTAAGCTGGGGCAGGGGGCTGGAGGAACACCGAGTGTCCAGGGGTGCTGGAAAGGTCCTGCTGTCCTGTCTCTCTCAGTGGAGACCCTTCTGTTTCCCCCATCCAAAGGTCAGTCTATACCGGGCACTGAGTCCCACACCCCTGGGCTGGCAGAAAACCGCTGGCATACTAGTGGGAGGCTGGGAGGTTGGGTATCTCTGCTCAGCATGAATTCTAGCCCGGCCCAGGTTAGCTCCCACTGGGGTCCAGGTACTTCATTTACTCTGGAAATGAGGATGGGGCTGCTTATCCCAGCTCCCCTGAGAAGCCCTGTGCTGCCGATAGTGCTGTAGAAGATCGGAAACAGCCTGTCTGTGCACATGCTCATGCACCCATAGACCTACGTGCTGCTCTCCGCCCGCTGTGGTGACCCACTGCTTCACCTTGAACCTGAGGACAGCTGGAGGTGCTCCTCCCCACCCCAGCTGCCCAGTCTCATAAGGGATCTAATTCAGAGTGTAGGGAGTTTTAGGACACAATGTTTGGTTGCCCTGGATTAGAATTTGATCTTTACCCCATTGCTCACATGTAACATTGGGCTAGGTGCTTCCTCTCTCTAGGTTTCCCTGAGGTCCCCACCAGCCTTGACATCTTTGGGGTCTGGACATTTGTGAAGGATTTGTGCATCACCTTGAAGTTGGTCGTGATAGTGAAAGGCAGGGGCCATTTGCCTCGAGGACTCCACTGTGTGGAGGTGGACATAAAATGATACGCCTATCATATAGTAGGAGTGCAAAAACTACTGAATGAATGAGTGACAATGAAAGCTTAGAAGGGGCCAAAGTGGTCCCAGAAGGCTTCCTAGAAGAAGTAAGACTCAGACACTTAGCTTCAGCCTATTTAGGAGCCACATTCGAACCTCAGTCTCAGCTGTGGGCAGCTTTCCTTAAGTGTTCTTTGTCTTGGAGGACTCTTCTTTATCCTTCAAAACCTGGCTCAGCCATTATTTCCTCTTTCAATTCCCCATCCTGACTGCTCCCAGAATTAATGGCGTTTCCTTGGGGGGTTGTCCTTACTTCAGCTGTTCCCTCCACATGGATTAGTTAGTATGTGTCAGGTGTTGAGTATGCTGTGATGAGCCCAGGCTGTTGTGTGGAGCTGACAGCTAATGAGGGAGACACAGTGAAAAGATAGTCAAAGAAATACACAAGGAAAATCTGTGCTAAGTGCTGTGAATAGTAATAATAGGAGTGAATGTGATTAAAGTGCAAGCTATGTGCTAAGCATGCATGAACTCAGTCAGTTATTCCTTATAACAACTCTGTGAAGTAGATACTGGTATTGTGCCTATATTAAAGATGAAACGGAGACAGAGAGGTTAAGTAACTTGCCGAAGGTCACACAGCTAGCAAGTGGCTCTGCTGAGATTAAACTCAGAGAACGAGAACTGTTAGAGAATAATGAGAGAGGTCAGAGGAGAGCTCTCTGAGCAGAAACCTAGCAGCTGAGAAGGAGGCAGCCATGGGAGGAGCTGGGGGAAGAGCATTTATTTGCAGGCTTCAAGGTTGGGGGAGTTTGGTGCATCTGAGCTGCTGAATGGAGGCCGGTGTGGCTTGGAGTAGAGTGTGAGGACAGAGGAGCTGAAAGGGGCTGAGACATGGCTGCCATGTGCTACAGTCTGGGGGGGGTGGGCCCTGTAGGCGGGGTTTGGGGTTTGGAATGCGGTGGGCTCTATTGTCTTGCCCACCAGACTATGCACCCTTTGAGGACTCTCTGGTCCCCCAGGCTTGGTACCAAGGTACACAGTCCCTGCACACTGAGCTCAGGAAGCCAGGAAAGAAAGCACATCATCATGGTTCCTCTCCTCTGAATGGCCAGTACCTTGAAGGTCCCATCTGCCTTCCCATCCACTCTGAGCCCTCATAATAGGGAGGTGGACCTAGGACCACCACGCCTTCCCCCTCAGTACGGATAAGACAGGGAGAAATAAAATGATTTGCTTGGGTTTGTGCAGCTGCCAAGGGACTCAGAGCCTCTATCTACGAGGGACCCTTTTCCAGCCTCTGTCTTGACTTGGGAGGCATCTGGAGCCTCTGTGCACCCAGAACGTGGTTTTACTGTCTGTCATACTTAGACCCACCCCCTCCAGCCTCCTTTGCTCACCTTCACACACTGACAATGCAGATCCAGGGCTACCTGCCTCCCTCCACCTCGCACACACCAGGGTCCATGGAGGCTGCCCTGTTGCCCTTTACCTATCCCTTGTCCAGGTAGGGCCAAGCTGGCATCCCTGGCACCCCTGGATGGCAGCTCACTGCCCTGCCCCACAGTGTCAGTGTCCAGAGACCTGTCTTGGAGACACATTCACTCCACCCCTGTAGGCCTCAGTTTTTTCACCTGTGAACCGGGTCTGTCCCTGCAGATCTTGCTATAGTGTTGGCGAGACGAAAGATTTTGGAGGAACGTAGAACTTGGCACATAATTTGCCGTGGTGAATCTTGGTTCTTTTCATCGCATCTGGACTCCAGTTTCCTCAA